ACACAAACACACACACACACACACACACACACACACACACACACACACACACACACTCCCTCAATTGCTATTTTAAAAAATGAAAGACACAAACAACTAGGCTTATTTAAGCAAAACAAAAACAAAACAAACAAACAAACAAACCCCTAAGTGGCTAGCTTTCCAGCAGTCTAGTTTGGATTTATTTAAAAAGGAAAGTCAACAGGACAGCATCATTGAAGGCCACTTCATCCCTGCTTCCTGCAGGCTCCATTTTAATTAGCATCGAACAGGTTATTGAAAATTTCTTCAGCTGCGGAAAAATGCTTTGAATGGATGACAGCTGCCTGAGGTGGTACCACCTGGTTCCAGTTTTGTCCCTGGTTAGTATGGTTTACCCACTATTGCCTGTTTGGTAGGGATGGGGGGTGGTGTCACGCACTAGGGCTAGCTGGGCATCAAGAAAGAGGAAAGGTAGTCTAAACATATAGACAACGGATGGGATACTTGTCTCTCTGCATTTTTCAAGAACTCGATAAATAACGACTCCAAGATGCCCCAGTGGAAATGCTGGGCATGTAGGTGAGTCTGAGGTGATATTATGGGATGGGGCTGGGGAAAGGCAGCATTTCTTTTTGCATCTTTCTTTGGACCTCACCAAAAGAGAAACAAAACCAAAGAGATAGCATTCCTATACACATATAAATAGTCCCTTAACTAGAAGGGAAAAAACAAACACACTGTTTCAAATGTATTTCTAAGAGACTTTAAAACATCCAACGGGAAATCTAGACTCCAAGTTATCCATTGCCCACTTCTCTCTGAGGAGAAACTGCCAGATGTTCGGCTGGGCCTGACCCTCACTCTAACCCTAACCCTGACTTGGTGCACTGTTCCTGGGGTTGTGTGTGCAGTACGGCAACCTCAGAGTTCTTACAGGTGGTACTGGATGTGGTTCTCATGTAAGTTAGAACTTACATGAGTGCCCTTAGTCCAAATGCACACGGGAACCAGACTCCCAGGTGTTCAGGGAACTTAGGAGCCTGATGAGAGCTTTCCTCTTGATGAGGCTGCTCTATGAGCACACCAGACTGGGCCTGTTTTCTTGGGGCAAAGGGCTCCCTCAAAATTTTTGCCAACTTAATTTGGGTCCTTATCCTTAGCTATGCCAGGTCATCTTGGAAGGGGACAATCCAGGACAAGCCAGGAAAGGACCATGAGGTCAAGGCAGGCCTAGGCTCTCATAACCTACACATTAGGAGTTGAGGGTTTTCAACAATGGCAGGGTTTCTTACTTTTTCAAGGAAAATGATGAGGATCTGGACTTCTAGAGAAAGCTCTTAAGATGAGGGTTCTTGGGCAAATTTATAAGGCCAGGTAGATTGTTTCTGAGTCTCTCACAAACCAAACGAGAGTGCTGAGAGCAGAAAGCTCATGCTACAAGTTTTCTTTGGCCTCTGCTGAAGTAAGAATGATGCATAGACAGTACAAAGTGGGACTTGATGGTCACCTGGACACTTTTTGGAGAGGCCATTTGATGATGGCCTTCTGGCAGAATCCTTCAAATGTAGCTAGAAGGTGGCAGCCCAGAAGAGACCTGGTCTGGTGTCCTCTGACCTGAATGAGCAATGAGGCCCAGAACCCTGCCAAAGACTACTTACATATGGCTTTGTCCTGCTGCCTGCCCACTCACAAGCCTAGTGGATGGACCAACAGTAGCAGAGTCATCTGAAGCAAGAGTCTGTAATTGTAGGCCCCGAAGGAACAGTATCCTCACAGAGAAGATGACGACACATCATGTCAATTAAGAAGGGAGAAGAGTGCCAGGTCATTCCAAAGAACATCCCCAAAATCTGGAGGAGATGGTGATGGAGAGGCAATCAGCACCCCAAACTTCAACCTGAGACATCCTCAAAAGGGGCTCAGAGTGTCTCATGAGCATGGGCTGTTAGATTTCAACAAAGTGGAGCAGATCTACCCATGTGGACTTTGGAATCGCTTTAGTTTTATACTTCTTCCGTGCCCTCATTAGGCACAGAGTCTCTGGGCTCAGCAGGGCCCTCTGGAGGGCCAGGCTGCTCTGGGCTGTGGCTGCTGTCTTCCACACTCAGGAGGCTGCTGGCCGCCTGGGAGCTGGCACTGAAGGCACTTCCTGACCGTGAGCGATAAGGAGGCAGGTCAGCTTGGTTCAGAGACTCAGTGTCGGATGAATAGGGTGGTGGAGGAAGGTCATACCACGCAGGTCTGCAATGGAGAAGGCAGAGGGAAGAGAACACATTAGAGTCAAGATGAGGCAGGCGATGCAGAGCCAGCTCTTACAACAGCCCATTTCTGAGCAGATGGCAAGGAGAAGAATAAGGCTTTACTGCCAAGTACAAAGGCAATCGAAGACAGCAAAACCAGTGGTTTAAAATATGACAGACCAGCAAGGTCAATTTGCTCTGGATGTTTCTGTCCAATGGGCAGTGCCTATAATGTGTCTATCTTCTAGGTGGACAGGAATGAGGTTGCTAAACAACACCTTGGGTGCTTTGGGCTAAATGACTTACAGCCAAGAGTCTTTGATAAGGAAGGGACTCTGGTTTCTTACTAAGTCTAAGTCTTCCTGTCACCTTGGGTGAGAAGTCACTTTCTTAGTGTCCTCTCTTTCTCTGTACTTTGCTTGCAACAGAATTATGTAACAGAAAAGACATTCTGTGTTGTGCTCTTTTCGCCCGCTGCTGAAAGTCAGGCACTTCTCTGAGCACCTCTCCTCTGCCACCTTTACTGCTCACAGTGACCTTTGAGATAGGCATTACTTTTATGTCCACTGTCCTGGTGAAGAATCAGAGGCCCATGATCACCGATTCGTAAAGCAGCAATGCTGGGACTGGAACCCCACCACTCTGTGTCCAGATTCACCAGTTTTATACCTTTACTCTACTCTGGTTGGCTCACATGCAAAGGTTATGAGTGGGAAGCTCATTAGGTGAGCCAGGCCCTGCAGAATGTCTCCCCTCCCAGTCCTTGAAGTATTGTTTGCTTTTGAAGAGGGAAAATGAAGATGAAATCATACAGGATCTGCAACTAGGAAGGGTCCATGGGGGAGCCCAGACACCCTAGAGGCACACCCACAAACTGCTTATGTGACACACAGCGAGTCCTGGGCTCTGAGGAAGAGGGGCCACCAAGCAGAGGACCTGAAGGCAGGACGCGGACTGTTATAATCTAAGCAGACTCCCATAGTCAGCTGCAGTTCAGGACTTGAAGAGGGTTATCAGGTGTGTGAGGGGGATGAACACAGTGAAGCATGTGCTTAGCCTGTGTGAGGCATTGATTCCAATCTCCAGCCCACTCCCCCACACACATACAGAGAGAGAGCCTGGGTTATATGGGATATTAATGAGGCTATGAAAGAAAGGGATAGGAAGACCCAATAGGCATGATTTAGACTCTCCACTGTAACTACAGAATGCCAGTCTTGGCCTTCTATACTGGTGGTTCATGAACAATGACATCTGCGATTAGTATTCCATTGCTCAATCAAGTTTGGGGTGTTCTATGCCATTCCTTTTACCTCATAAATGATGCCAAGCATGGTAAAGGGATTACTTATTCTCTTATTCAGTCAACAAATTAATCAAAGCTCCCATGATACTTTTCTGTAGTAGCAGGTAAGGCCCAGAGATGGTCAATGGTCTGAATGTGTGACATTGTGGCTTAACCAAGCAGGAGCAGGAATCCTTCATCCAGGTCCTCAGACAAGTGACTTAAAACTGCAGGGCCTCAGTTACTTCCTTCATAGAAGTGTTCAGAGGAATAAGGTAAATACCAATCGAGGTTACTGCCTACAGCTACCAAGCTCAAATTCTTGGCTAGACTTAGGCAGCCGGTGTGTGCACATGAGTCTCTCCCATGTTAGATGCCCTCCTATGCAATCTCTCACCTTTGGTCCAGTAGGGCCTCTGAGTAGGAGGGTGGAGAGCCTACTTCTGAGGCATTTTGTTCGGCCTGACTAGCCACGTACTGAACACCATTATTGACATTGTAGGTGACGTTACAGTGGTGGGGGTGGTCCAGAACCACCAGGCGAGAGAGCAGTACAGGATGTTGCAACCGGTGCACAGGTAGAGTCATGAGGTTGTTCCGCTTTCGCTGATGATGCAGGACCAGTGCCAACAGGGCCACCACGAGGACGAAGATGACGGAGCTGCCGATGATGGCGTATGTGATACTGGGGTAGTACACGAGCTGGTTCTCTGAGGTCACAAACACCTGCCCACTGCCTGGTTCTGGGAGAACCAGGAGAAAAGAGAGAAGGAGAGAACATTACAATTTGCCCTTCCTAATAAGTCTTTGAAAAATCAACCCCAGAATTTCTTTGCCAATTAGCATAGCAGGGCTATTCACAGCCACCAGAAAGGGAGAGCCCCAAATGTCCATCAGCTGTGGAAGGGATAGTCATACTGTGGTATATCTGCACAATCAACTCTTACCCAGCCTGAATGTAAATACTGATACATCACATGAGTGTGAATTTCAGAAACAAGCAGAGAAATAAACCACACCCCCAATATCCCAGATTGTAGACTGTTTATATGATGTATCTGAAAGGCCAGTTCAGACACAGCAAGCATAGCAGTGCCTGGATTAACTGCAACTGGCCATGAGGGGTCTTGTTGGGTCATTGACAATGTGCTCAAACTAGACTATAGTGATGACAGCACATGCTGGAAAGTTAACTAAAAATCATTCAGTTGTACAGTTAATGTGAGTGAATTTTATGTTCTATAAATAAGACCTCAATGAAGTTAGCTAAAAACTCTGACGTGGAAAATATACTACCCAGGGGTAAAGAGTGAGAGTTCTTGGAGTTCCAGAAATCAGTTCTTCATTGAAAATAAATGATGCTCACTTGAGGAAGAAGAGTATGCACATCTGGGCTCCAAATGCCTATGGAGCATCTGTTTTGTGCCAGGCCCTGGGCTGATCTTCACAGACACAGGGACAGACTCTGGAGCCAGACAGGTCCCACCTGTCCCTCATCCTGCTTTCTGTGCATGTGCCCTTTGGGGAGTGCTGGGAACAAAATGGGCTGGACATTCTCCTGGCTTCTGAAGTTGGGCATAGACAGCAATCTAGAGTTTAGAACAGCAGCTGGCACAGTCACACCTATGATTGATACACTGTCTGATATCAAAGGTTTTAGTTTTGCTTAAAAATTTATATATATTTTTTAATTCAGGGCTTCATATATTCCAGGCTGGCTTGCAACTCACTGTGGCTAAGGATGGCTTTGGATTTCTGATTCTCCCACTTCTACTCCCTGGTACTGGGATTATAGGCATGGGTCACCATTCCCCACTTATGCAGCATGGGGATGGAATCCAGGACTTCATGCATGCTAAACAAACACTCTCTCAACTCTGCCAAGGCACTGCTTTTAAGATGGGCACAGTGTGTCCTGGTGAGGCTGAGTCCCCTGACTAAGATTACTGAGGTTGAGGGAGGAGCCTGTGTGACCTAAGCTAGTGCCCCACACTGCTCTATGAACACTAAAGGAGACTCAGTGGACAATTTGCAGACATTTCCTCAGGTCTCAGGGTGAGGGTCTGGGTCACACCCCATCTCTGCTGGCTACCAATACTTTCCTCCCACATATGCTAATGAGCCACACTTCAGTGCTTCAGGTGACCTGCTCCCCAGCCAGCAGGACACAGCTGACAACCTCAGGAAGTCTAGGCAGGCACAGGAAACCAGAACAGCCCCTAATAGAAACCTGGGTCCCCTTGTAGGTGCCACAGAACTACAACAAGTCACCATTGTGCCTGTTGGAAGAATATTCTAGTTTCAGTCCCAGAGGGCAAATTTGGGACCACAGCCCTTTGCTTCTTCCATCTCAGGAGGAGGTTTCTGTGGGTCCTGGAAAGGCCAGCATTTGCTAATGTGAAGTAGCACGGGAGGTGGAGATAAATTATTCACTCCTTCCTTCAACCTGAGCTGTATTTGCTTTGTTTATCACTACAGTGGAGGAGGAGACCTGGCAGATAGTAGGCACTCAATAAATGCATAGAACTCAACAACAACAATCTGTTTATTCACACTCTATGGTAAACAGTAGGTGCTATTATAATTTTTATTTTAACCCAGCAAGGTGGGTTAACCTGTCCATGGTCACAGAAGGAGTCTGGCAGGTAGGCATCCTCCTTCTAAAGCCTGCATGCTGTAGAATGCACCATCTCTGCCTTTCTGATTAAAAGCAAAACAATGAGACTCCCTGAGGGTCCCTTCTCTCTGTGTTAACTTTTCTCTCTAGCCATACCGAAACTTGAACTAAAAGCTTAGGAGATTTTCCCAGTTCCTGGCAGTCATAATCCTAACATTCCTGCACATCTGAATTACATAAAGAAGCCATTATGAGCTCTTTAAAGGTGGAAGTATGTGTTTGTACAGTTAAGGGACAAAAGAGGCTTTGGGCTTTTCTGGAGATAAATAACTGCCACTCAGTTCTTATCTTAGTAATTAAAAGCTGTGTGTGTGTGTGTGTGTGTGTGTGTGTGTGTGTGTGCGCGTGTGCTCGCATCCGCTTCAGAATTCATGATTAAAATACCTTCTGTGGTTATTTCCTGCACAGATCTGCAAGGTTACAGAGTTCTGGGGTGGATACTGGAATCATAACTTTCAGGTACCTGAGCCCAGGCAAGTAATTTAACTTTCATAAAATAATAGCAGGACTCAATGAGAAGGAGAGAAGAGGAGGGGTGTGGAGGACATGAGGGAGCAGAAAGGTTGAGTCAGGGGAAGAATAGAAGATAACAAGAATGGAGATACCATAATAGAGGGAGACATTTTAGGTTTACAGAGAAATCAGACAGTAGGGAAATGTCTGGAGATCTACAAAGATGACACCAGCTAACAATCTAAGCAACAGGAGAGGCTACCTTAAATGCCCTCCCCAATAATGAGAT